ATCCCATTTATTCTACAGAGTACGATCAATCGTGTTCCACTCAGGCAGGTAAAAATTAACCATTTTCGTATCAGTGAACGTCAGAGTGAAAAATATCTGGGAACGCGTTCATTGATAACACACTCTACAGAAACGTTGTATGCTGTTGTCCTCACTTTTAAACGAAATCGCCCTCATTAACGGACTTACAAATTATTTTTCGGAAAACGGAATGGAAGGGGACAGAAAGTACACTGTATAATTAATTACTAATTCATTAGTACTAGGATAAACGAACAGTACAACTCTTTGGAATAAAGAAAGTTTGTTCTACAATACCGCTGAAAAAAGAAGCACAACAGGCTGTGATTGATGCATCCAAAATGTTTAAACGTTCCTAAAGTCTCTCAAGAGCAAAACTAACAGTTCAGAAAAAGTTTATATAGCTTCCAGGTTCTCTACCATACTTTCCACGAACTCGTTCGCTCCTCAGCTGACCTTCGGATTGTGTGCAGTAATGAAACGTTCCCCATCCCAAGACGGAAACATGCTCAAAACATCTAAATGGTGACACGAACGAAAGAATCATATATTCTTGACTCTGCTCATCACTTATACTCACTGTGACTTCTGCACAGAATAAGGAAGACACAAAATACACCTATCTATTTGCGAATCACATTGGTCTGAACGAGAAACTCGACTTGTTTTTATGTCATTCTTGAACTGAAGGTGCGGCACAATGGCCACTTTATGTTTCCGTTGGAGGAAACTACTCACACGATTGGGGAGTGTTCAGTCAGCAACCTGGTGAATATATATTCCCTCAAGGGTTCAGGCTTTACAGAATGAAGCGTGATAAAGCCAGGAAAAATGGTGTATTTGGATTGGCTTAACAGCGATTTGCAGGGGAGTCGGTGTTCTGTGGAAAGCTCGTCCTATTTTCTTGACAAAAGCTACTCACAAGGCTGCTGGAAACTCTTACACAGTACACGACAGTGTTTCTTCGTTCAGGGTGTTGCCAAAGTGTTTGTTCTGCTCCGTGTCACCAAAGGGTGTCTAAATTGTGCTCCGTGAATTTTACACTGGGTGTGCCTTGGACGACGTTCAATAAACACTACCGATTGTTTATCAAGCTCTTTTGAAACGAGGTTCAACGATCTCCCCAAACCTCAGATTAATAATAGAATATTACAGTGAGAATGTTCAAACGAAAGATCAGGGTCAAACTGAAACCTCAGTAGCATCGAGGCACGCTCCTCTGACGAAATCAGATGCTTCTTCATGAGCTGGCGAATTCTAGCAGGCGTATTTCTGATTTTGGAAAGTCATCTCCAAAGATAAATCAGGAAGAAGAAATCCGGTAGTTGTCTGTCTAGGAGTTCCCATTAACCTTATGAGTAGTGTTCAGTTAAAACTAACTTCTTTCTAGATGAATACTCTCTTCACAAGCGTCCGTCAGTTCTCATTGTGTTCAGGGGATTCAACCTATTCCAACTGACGTAATGAAGCATCCTAACATTAGTTGAAGACTTACACAGATTCCCCTCAAATTCAGCTGATTCGCATTGCTCACCGCACAAAAGATATTCTCTCATTATTCTCATTCAAACTGGGTGTTGATGTGCCGTTTGTCGCATGATGAGTGAGCAATACAAGCTTTGCACAGCAGTTCCTTCATCAGCCCCCAAAGAAGTGGTGTTTGAACGAAATCGGCTTAAGGAGAGCGGACTGTTTGAACCGATGGAAGGAAACTTTGCAGTAGCGAAATACACTCATTTTCAAACTAATTCGGTTTCATGAGAGACTCGCCTGGAACCCAGCTGAATATACATGTACCGCGATACCTCGAATATCGTAGCGACTGAGAAATGAGGCGGCCTGGTGCAGCACATTCAGTTGCCTGAAAACATCACAAACGAGAGATTCAGCTGGGTTCCAGATGAGTCTCTCGAAAAACCAAATTAGTTTGCAGATGAGTGTATTTCGCTAATTTTGTGCAATTTGGTTTCAAGTAGAACATAAGGTTGACGGAAACCCGGGGACTGCGCCTACCTGATGAGCCCCAAGAAGGGCGAAACTGGTCGTGGGCTGTCGAAGAGTTTTCAGCAACCTCAGGAGTAGTGCATTACGAAACAACGCATTGTTTAAGCCCGAAACCGAGCGGAACATGTTTGAAGGAGCAGACAAACGGCAGTGACTGACAAAAATCTGTAATGATTTCTAAACATTTCTGAACACTTAAACATCACAGAACGTATTAGAAGAGGAGGTGTGAAAGTCTACACAAAGAGCATATCCACTTTTTCTAGAACAAATGCGTGTTTCTTGATTTCCTCTCCGAAATACGAGAGTTATGAACGAATTTCTTCGTTCAGCTTGATAAATATATGTAGTGAGTTGAGCATATACCTCATTGGAAGGAAGGATAAAAAGACAGAAATGTCAAATTCACTGGTCGAAAACTCTGCAAGCGTCTTTGTACGGAAGTACAGCCCTTCATGTTAAAAAGTCCTTGTTTTTTTCCAAACTGAAATTCGCGGTTGCTAAGTCAGTTGGAAGTCAGTAGACCGTAAATAAACATGCGAGCATGCAGTAATTCTAGCGTCACATAGGTGACGCACTCAGATGCCCATATATACTAAAACAGTATCGTTAAAATGCAATCGGGCTTGGTAGGGGAGGACAGAGCTGTGGTAAGGTGTAATCTGAATAGTGATAAGGTGACAATCGACTTTGTTTTATGAGTTGAAATGGTCTGCGTGGGTCGAACAGGATGGAGGGATGAGCCAAACATTCGATATGATTCCGAGGGGAGTGGAAGTTGTTGACATAAACATTTCCTGCTACACGATACATCTGTGAACGCATAAATAGCAAACAGCGACAGGAAGCTGTGGTGTATATGCAGCACCCTAAGTTTCGAAAGAGTTAGACGAGAGTCTGATGATTTGTGAATACTGTTTCAAAATCCTGGGACTGTCTGAGATTGTTGGGCATGGTTAATTACCGGTGTTCACTAACAAGGCTCGTATTTGCGGTAAGGAGACAAAGGTTACTGAACGAGAAATCCTACGCCCTAATACTTCAGAAGATTCAGTGACAAAAAAACGTTCCTTCAGTATATCATTTCGACCCGGTGGTCCACATCCTGTATAGCCAAGAGTCACATTATCAACATACTCTGGCTGGACGAAAAACGCAGAAATAAGTAGGCTAACGCCATATGAAGAAAAGAGGAATACGTCACTTTTGGGGAGTGTCCTTATTGGTTGGGTGTCTCTATAGAGGTTACCGCAAGCCTTTCGTAGTGGGAGGATGAAATTGGGCCGTGAGATTCGGTACCTTTAAACTGAGACTTCATCCTGTTGGTGCGGTTCTTCTACTCTGAGAGGCCAAGCACCACCATGCAGTTCTTTTCGCCTTGTTGGGGATAACCAACAGTTCGCATCGGAAAGTTTCGAACGCGCGATATATTGACCGTTGGTCAAACACTTGACTTATCGGCCACGAACGGCTGATCAGCTGTATGATGACACAGGCAGCAAACCACATCAAGTGACTCCTCGGGTGACGACTTTTCCAGTGAAATTATTCCTTCCCTAAGCTACTTGTTGACTGATGTTGTAAAGGTATACGTTCAACCCCCTCTTCCATGTGGCCCACTTATCTTCGCCGTTTAGTGTAATCCGTCGACTTGAAAACCCAAAGAATGTGTGTGAACCTGAACAAGTTTGGTGAATTAGCGAATACGCTGATTTGCAAGCAAAGTTGTTTTTTCGAGAGTCTCACCTGGAACCAAGATGAATCCCTCGTCTATGGTGTTTTTCAGCAACTGAATGTGCTGCACCAGGCCACCTTGTGTCTCAGGTGTTACAATATTCGAGATACCGTGATACATGTAAGTCACTACTCATAAGGTTGCTGAGAATTCGTCGACAACCCACGACCGGTTTCGCTCTTCTTGGGGCTCACCGGGTAGGCGCAGTACCCGAGTTTTCGTCAACCTTATGTTCTATTTCAAACCAAATTGCACGACATTAGCGAAATACACTCATTTGCAAACTAATTGGTTTTTCGAAAGACTCAACTGGAACCCAGCTGAATCTCTCGTTTATGATGTTTTCAGCCAGACTCGGGGATTGCAAGTGCCTGACAAGCCCCAAGAAGTGCGAAACCGGTCGTGGGTTGTCGAAGAGTTTTCAGCAACCTCATGAGTAGTGTATTATATCTGTACAAGGTTGTGGATCTCCAGAGGGAATTTTGAAGAAAACGCGGTCTTTTAACTAGGCGCAGTTCAGTTTTCTTCTGGCTGAGTGCAACTTGATGACTTGATGACGTTTTACCGTCAAAATGCTGCAGAACCCACTAGCGTGCTGTTATGTGTGGGTCATGCTTCGTGCTTCTACAAATCTGTCCTGAATGTTGCATGTGTGCGTATTTCTATATCGGTGTTGATGTGCCCTGGGATTAAACATCCCAGATCACACATAGCGCATGTTCAAGCGGTAAAACAGACCAGATCAGATGGCAAGAAGTAATTTGACACTATCGGACCGTTTACGCATGAGTGGGCCATTTGGATGACCACGGACTCAGCGTACGTCTCTGTGCCTACGCATACTGAGGTCTTTTCGCAAGTGGTGAGTAGGTTAGCAGAGTTGGCCCCGTGATCCCCGGCTAAAACAAAGCGTTTACTCGCTGAATTCCGTAGCCTTACTTGAAGCGACCCGATAGTTTCATGTGCCCGTGTTTACGGACTTTTAGTTGCCAAGTGATTCACCCAGTGTGGACTCTGTTACGATTGGCGCAGTTAGTCTTGTAGATACATTTGGTACGGTCCTCAAACATACATTAATTTCCAGTCTTCCGAAAGTGTGGTATTTGTATGACACTTTCTGTCACCCTGAGGAGGTAAGCAAGTGTGATAAGCAGTGGCTGAGATAGACAGTTTTCTTAGGTCCGTCATAAAAAACGACCTTTTCATTTTTACCATCTGACTATTTCAACTCCCGTCTTAGAACTCATCCAGAAAGACATGCCGGAAGAAACTTTTCATCTAACCACACCGTCGGCTTGGAGACTAGTGCAGCTGGGCCACATGGTCGTGAAACTGTGCCCAACTGGACAGCGTCTCCAGGATCAGAAAATTTACCAGAACCGCTGGAGCCACCTGAATCGGACAAACCAATCACCCCAAAGCCACACATATATCACCTCCCCCCACCCGAAGTTGGAGTGGCAAGAACACCAGAACCAGTGCGTGAGCCTGTCAAAATCGGTGAAGAGTCATGAAGCCTGGTGTGTACTCTGCGATCGTTGCCCCTTTCCTTTTGTCCACACATGGTGTATGTCTTGTACTTCATCTGAAAAACCATCTTTTGATAAAGTGAACCAATTCCTGATGCATCTGTCCTATTTCGACTAATCTTCTCTTCCTCTGTTATCCCTGAATTCGAGCAGACAAACATCCGATAAATGCCCGTCCACCGTGACGTTTTTGCAACCATATCATGATCTGGGAAAAAGAGGAGGACAGCTACCATATTCTATTATGAAATTCTTTCCCCATTGAGTCACTTCAGCACTGGTCACATGTATTTGATTAACTGGCCATGTTTTGTCTGTTTTCCTGTAATTGGCTTGTGTTTACCATCATTCAGTATGTTTCTGTCTCTCTCCCTCTCTCACGCTTTTCTTTTACCTCTGTGAACGATACGTGTTTGGGCGAGTAATTTCCGTTCCCCCCCCCCACATGTTCCTGTCTTGTCCACGTACAGTGCTACAGATTAGCATGTTTCGCCGATTACTTTATCCCAATGTGATTACCAGATTTCACTTTGTATTTCGGACGTTTCCTCAAAAGCGAAAATTTTGCTCTTTGTGTGACCGGGAACCCGCTTACTTGAGGATGAGAATTCTTTCATGGCAGAAGTTTGACCTGTACAACTGCGTTTCTCTGACGAACAAAGCAGATTATCTAATCCGCATGTCTGGAAGAGAAAGTTCTGGACAACGCGAGCATCCTTTGAAATTTTGTCTGTTCCACTTTCATGATGGTAAAGTTAATTCACTGACGTCAAATAAATGTCATTTGCAAATATCTGATAGGACTTACAGAGAGGGGTAGGGATATTTGCTTGTATGATGCAGTGGGGACCGTACTTGGTGAAAATTCAGGCCGTGTTTGCAAGCTTAGACGAGTAGACGAGTTTTGGACTCTCGAGCCACATATCGTCCATGGTGCTTTTGTGCATCACAAGAGCGCGAACCGACGAGTGATAACACTGTTGAACGTGTCAGCTACACCGCACATGGTGGACTGTAGCAATCTCCGGGTGCCTAGCAACCATTCCACCTGAAGGAAGCTGAGATTATATCAAGCTATCCAAGCTCAGGTAGGAGCGGTCTAGTTGTAAAGGTTGGGTTCGAACCCTGGACCTTCCGTTTTGTAATCTCGCGCCATTAGCACTGGGTTATATGAGGCTATTTCGGTCGCAGAGGAAACCAAGGGGTAAGTAAGCCCGAGAACTGATTATCCCCGACACGGCAAAAATGCAGCGAGACAGCTGTGGCGGTCCGCAAATTAGCTGGAATGAATTAAATTAACTCTGGTGGTGTACAAATACTACTGAAAAACCTCATGTTACAAGCATAGCGTTTCTGTGCATAGCAGCTGTATCAGTGCCAAGTCACTTGCCACTTTTTTCCAGAACCATGTCAGGCACGAACGCAAGCCCTTGACTTGGACGTCCAACCCGATGGCCCTGAATCGTTACCCATTTTAGTATGAAGGCGTGTCAAAAATGGAATGACCTAAACTTTCGTAAGTCACGACTGACTTGACACCACACCCGTCATTCTCAGCCTCCGGCTTGGATAGGTCTCAAGATCCATCAATATCGCTTAAGAAAGACCTCATTTGGACTCACTTTGGTGACTCATCGTTCTCACCATATACTCAGAGCGCCCAATTTTCCAGATCCCTTTGGAAACGCAGCATCTAAATCAGTACAAATCAGTACAAATCTACAACCACGCATTCCTTCGTTTTCTTGAGTAATTCCATCTGGTTCACATCCGAGACAATGATAAGAAGTCGTGAAAACACCGAGAGCGGTTTTTGTCAAATGAGTGAGGTCCCTGATTTCTACCAGTTGTTTGTTCTACTTGGGAAGAGAATTGTTAATACAGAAAACAAGCACTACATTTTCACGTATAATGCCGACACGAAACCCAATGGATGGCAAATTTTGGTGAAGGGTCATAGAAGTGGACCCCCAATGAAATGTCTGAATGTCACAAACTACTCACTACATAAACGAGCGATTACGCTGCGATTCATCTGAGTATCCCATTAACACCATTGTAAGTTGCAGCTGGGTAGACATCACAGCCCCTTCTTTTGGAAGTTACAGACTATTCCCAAGCAGTACACTGATGTAGTCCGTACTGATTGGTGTCTGTATCAAATACCACCATCACCATTACCGCCAACGCCATCACAACCAACATAAACACAACTGCTACGACCACCGCTACCGCCACTAATACAACTGCCATCACACTCAGCGTCAACATCATCATCACCACCACCAACGCCACCAACACCATCACCACCAATTCCACCAACACCACCGCCACCAAAACCACCACGAACACCACCACGAACACCGCCGCCAACACCACCACCACCGCCACCATCATCAACACTACCAACACTACCACCATCACGAGAGTATCGTGTAAAGTCTTGAAAAACTAGGTTCTAAACGTAGCAAGTTCATGTATGCGGTGCCTGATAAAACCACCCCATTGGTACCACAGGTTTCACGAATGAGACCAGGAACCACAGAATGTGTGTACCGGGTATTGACCAGTGCGTTTTTGTACCTGTGAATAGCCTCGGGTGTACGGCGAAATCAGTCTAATTTTGGTCCAAGTAGAACATGAGGCTGACGAAAACTCTGTGAATCAACGGTGAACAGCGGTAATTTTCCTTGGGTTCTGACTACTCATGAGTAACGTTACTTACGCCTGTTTATTACGACACCGCTTTGTTTCCTTGCTGCTGCTCGTTTTCCCCCTGTGTCGTTCCTACTTGTGGTCTGCTTGTACCTCAGTAACTGATGTCAATATTTTGTTGTCCACCAACCATTGCTTGCAAGTTCGTCTCAGTTCTACTTATTTTCGGGCGTCCAATCCGACGGAAAAGCGAAGCGACCGGGTGTCGAACCCGGAGCTCAATTTTTTTGTATTACCCATGTACCGCACCTGCCAGATAGTCTGGCAAGATTGTTTTAAAAGAACGAACCCGCGCAATCTGACCTATCACGTGACACGAGCTGCCGCATCGCGTCGCCAACTGAAAGACAGTCCCTCACATCCCAGACGTGCTGATTTTCCGCGCCGTTATCTCTGTACGGCCAACTCACTGTCAGACTGCCTGTATATAGATCCCTGCTGCTTTAGCGACTACTTTCCGCTTCTGCAGATTACGTCATTATTGGTTGATTAGTTCATGTCACTCCTCAATACATCGTCTGCTGCCCACGAGTCACGACTGACTTGACACCACACCCGTCATTCTCAGCCTCCGGCTTGGATAGGTCTCAAGATCCATCAATATCGCTTAAGAAAGACCTCATTTGGACTCACTTTGGTGACTCATCGTTCTCACCATATACTCAGAGCGCCCAATTTTCCAGATCCCTTTGGAAACGCAGCATCTAAATCAGTACAAATCAGTACAAATCTACAACCACGCATTCCTTCGTTTTCTTGAGTAATTCCATCTGGTTCACATCCGAGACAATGATAAGAAGTCGTGAAAACACCGAGAGCGGTTTTTGTCAAATGAGTGAGGTCCCTGATTTCTACCAGTTGTTTGTTCTACTTGGGAAGAGAATTGTTAATACAGAAAACAAGCACTACATTTTCACGTATAATGCCGACACGAAACCCAATGGATGGCAAATTTTGGTGAAGGGTCATAGAAGTGGACCCCCAATGAAATGTCTGAATGTCACAAACTACTCACTACATAAACGAGCGATTACGCTGCGATTCATCTGAGTATCCCATTAACACCATTGTAAGTTGCAGCTGGGTAGACATCACAGCCCCTTCTTTTGGAAGTTACAGACTATTCCCAAGCAGTACACTGATGTAGTCCGTACTGATTGGTGTCTGTATCAAATACCACCATCACCATTACCGCCAACGCCATCACAACCAACATAAACACAACTGCTACGACCACCGCTACCGCCACTAATAAAACTGCCATCACACTCAGCGTCAACATCATCATCACCACCACCAACGCCACCAACACCATCACCACCAATTCCACCAACACCACCGCCACCAAAACCACCACGAACACCACCACGAACACCGCCGCCAACACCACCACCACCGCCACCATCATCAACACTACCAACACTACCACCATCACGAGAGTATCGTGTAAAGTCTTGAAAAACTAGGTTCTAAACGTAGCAAGTTCATGTATGCGGTGCCTGATAAAACCACCCCATTGGTACCACAGGTTTCACGAATGAGACCAGGAACCACAGAATGTGTGTACCGGGTATTGACCAGTGCGTTTTTGTACCTGTGAATAGCCTCGGGTGTACGGCGAAATCAGTCTAATTTTGGTCCAAGTAGAACATGAGGCTGACGAAAACTCTGTGAATCAACGGTGAACAGCGGTAATTTTCCTTGGGTTCTGACTACTCATGAGGTTACTTACTTACGCCTGTTTATTACGACACCGCTTTGTTTCCTTGCTGCTGCTCGTTTTCCCCCTGTGTCGTTCCTACTTGTGGTTTGTACCTCACGTAATTTTCCTTGTGTTCTGACTACTCATGAGTAACGTTACTTACGCCTGTTTATTACGACACCGCTTTGTTTCCTTGCTGCTGCTCGTTTTCCCCCTGTGTCGTTCCTACTTGTGGTCTGCTTGTACCTCAGTAACTGATGTCAATATTTTGTTGTCCACCAACCATTGCTTGCAAGTTCGTCTCAGTTCTACTTATTTTCGGGCGTCCAATCCGACGGAAAAGCGAAGCGACCGGGTGTCGAACCCGGAGCTCAATTTTTTTGTATTACCCATGTACCGCACCTGCCAGATAGTCTGGCAAGATTGTTTTAAAAGAACGAACCCGCGCAATCTGACCTATCACGTGACACGAGCTGCCGCATCGCGTCGCCAACTGAAAGACAGTCCCTCACATCCCAGACGTGCTGATTTTCCGCGCCGTTATCTCTGTACGGCCAACTCACTGTCAGACTGCCTGTATATAGATCCCTGCTGCTTTAGCGACTACTTTCCGCTTCTGCAGATTACGTCATTATTGGTTGATTAGTTCATGTCACTCCTCAATACATCGTCTGCTGCCCACGTCTGTCTGCTCTTTTCGACTACTGGCTACGAACTGTGTATAATCTAATGGCCGCACTCGTCTTGTGAGATCCATAGCCACTCGGATCTTACAATCCCCAAGAAGGGCGAAACCGGTTATGGGCTGTCGAGGAGTTTTCAGCAACCTTCATGAAAACAGCCCAACCGTATTTTAGAATAAAACGCTTCTTCAAGTTCTTCTTTCTCATGTTCTTTCACTGGCAACATAAAGTAAGAAAAATCGGAGCAGTGTGTGACCGTACAGATAATTTCCAAGGTGCCAATCAGTCTCCCGGGGGAGAAAAATCTTTCAGCGTGAGCGTGACGGCCATTGAATGACGTGTCACCAAGTAACGGCCAAATATCGCAGGGTACTCGAAAACTTTCGAAATGAATGACAGCTGTCGCCGTTGCTCCCATCGGTTGGCTTGTGAAACTTTCGTGATAATGAGAAGGCAGTCAGAAATTTCTCATGACCGTGGTTTGACTTAGTATATATTCTGCGAGTAGGCCAGGAACCTTGGCCGTTTGAAACCGTTTTGTACTCCCCTATTCTTCGACTGCTTATACAACCGACTTAGCGGACGTGTGTATGGAGTTTTCCTTCAATCTATTCTTATATACCTGTTTGTTTGTGTGTTCAGAATATTTTCAGTGGTCGATAAACAAATTCTCCATACTTCTTGTTTCCGGACGGTGGAGACTTCTGCTGACGGCCGAACAAATAGGCAACGGTATAATTACTTTCGGCATTCGTCCGAATCTAGTTACATGAGTTGTGTGTATGAATATACATGTTTTGCGATATCTCGAGTATCGTAGCGACTGAAACTTGAAGTGCAGCACATTCAGTTGTCTGGGAAAATCATAAACAAAAGATTCAGCTGGGTTCCAGGTGAGTCTCGAAAAAAAAACGAATTCGTTTGCAAATGAATGTACTTCGCGAATTTCGTGCAATTTGGTTTGAAGTAGAACATAATGTTGACGGAAACTGGGGGCCTGCGCCCACCTGATGAGCCCCAAGAAGGGCGAAACCGGTCGGTAGCTCTCGATGGAGTTCAGCAACCTTATGAGTAGTGCATTATAAATCTCATCCTTATTGGTGGGAGAGAACAATACGACTCACAAGCCGATCTCAGGGTTCATCTAGTCCATGGAATAAAGAAACTTGTCTTAAGTCGGTCGATCAGCTTTTCGATGAGGGTTCTAAGACACACGCACACACAGTTCAAAGAAAGAGGAAACAAAAGCACGGTGTTGGTACGACTAACTAGTCATTAATTAATTAATTAATTAATGGTAGCTGCGTTCTATTTTGAAGAAATTAAAAGTTCAGCAAACGCCTTATGCAGACCTGAATCGGCAGATTTACTGACGATGTGTTGGTATTCATACTGAAAAGGATTTGTGATTTTCACCACTATAGATGGTTGTTTCGTCCATTAACTCCAGGATACTGGGTGTGCGAACAGGTAGTTTGAATTTTATTGCTTCCACTATTCGGTATTCAGTTGTGGGGTTTTGTGGGATTCGGAAGAGACAGACCAGTGCCACTAATTCTCATAGGAGTGTGCATTGCGATCAGACGTGTTTCGGCAGTGGGGTTTGACCACTAAGCTAATGTCCCGTTTTTCCACTGTAAACTTCAGGTCAACCATGAGGCCTACTATTAGGTGAACCATTCCCAGGCATCACGGGACTACATAACAGCCAATGGGATAACCGTTTTCGTTGAGACAGATTTCATTGGCTGTTCTTCACTCGCCTTTGACAGATGAGTTGTATTCTCAGCATCATTTTTGACTGCTTGTATGCTACGGCGATCAATGGAGCAGCTGACTCGCACGTTCGTTCTGGTTCGGCCAAGCGCACCAGTCGATCAAGCGGCTATCCAGACTGGGGTTCACGGTAATAAGAAGGCAGTAAGGGACTGGGGTCCACAACACCCACTTTCCTGTTGATTTAAGGAAAAATGCTGCCGTAGACCTACCACCCGAGTTGAAATATACGGACAATACTAATCCTATAACATTAACTTCTTCCAAGAAAGATACCTCCGAGTAGCAGCGACTCCCACTTGTAATCTGAAGTGGTATGAACGTTGAATTCATTCAGAAGCTGATTGTACACGTAGGACATATCCATCTGCAACATGCTGCCGTGATTCTTGGTCTGTGTTATATCTGCTGATTTGCCAAACTGTGGTATCTGCGCTCCAGTGCCTAATGCCGGAAAAAAAGACTCACACAAGGGAACACAACAGCTATATTCCGAACAATCGAGTGCGAGTGCGAATGTACAACGGTCTCAAGCTATCTATTGGAGGGACACTGTCTGAGCTCGGTCCAATGCTGACTCACACGGTCTTGCTTTGATACGAGACTGCGACTTGCTGCATATTGCGGGGGCGTTGCCTGACCTTGTTCAACGCTGACTCTCGCTGTCTGGGTTTGATACAAGGCTGTGACGTGCTGCATATTGCGGGGGCGTTATCTGTCTGGTCAACATCTCGCGGAACTGAGAGTCTCCGTAGATTTCGGGCATTCAGTGGTTGCTTTCAAGAAGTTGACCTTCCTGATAGTCTACTACCCGATTACCATCATCAGGATGCAAAACTGTTGTGGCGATTCAGCGTGTTGTCACATGAGTACGAACCACGAGTCCTGCATACTTCCCCATGACAGTCCACTAGCCACCACTGTGTTTACCAGTCGTTTCTGACTGATGCTCTAATTTGTACACGAACTTGGTATTGGCACTAGACTCACCTGGAACTCAGCTGAAGCCCTCGCTCAGGATGGGCTGCTTCAACTGAATGTGCCATACCAGGCCGCCTCATGCTTCGATTGGCACAGTATTCGCGGTAGCGCAATACGTTGTTGTCCAGACGAGAAA